AACCACTGCTGTAGTCTCTCTTCTTGTTCATTTTATTTTTCCTCCAACCACTGCTGTAGTCTCTCTTCTTGTTTATGTTCTTGTTCTTCTTGTTTCTTTTCTCGTTCTTGTTGTTCTTCCTTTTCCTCCAACAACTGCTGTAATCTCTCTTATTGTTGATTTTTGCTGTTTGAGCTGCCACTGTTGCAGGTTTTCTTGCCACCGCTGTTGTCTCTTTTCTTGTTTCTTTTCTTTTTCCCCCATAACTGCTGTAATCTCGCTGGTTTATTTTGTATTTCGAGCTGTCACTGTTGCAGGTTTTCTTGCCACTGCTGTTGTCTCTCTTCTTGTTTATTTTCTCGTTCTTCTTGTTTCTTTTACTATTCTTGTATTGCTGCCATCAAATCTGCTAAGTCGTAATTTGATTTGCCATTTCTCGTTTCCATTTTTTTTTCTGTTCCACTCTATGACACCAGTTTGTTACATCTCTTTTCATTTGTAAATTTCCCGTATAATTTCTTTCCGATGAAACTTCAGCGATACAAGTCCTTTCTTATATAAAACTAGTTTATTCTTTTTCAATACAACTTTGCAATACACTTAATTTCCACAGTTAGTTTAACTTAAACACGCGCGATAATTCACAACGATTGACGCACTTTACTTACGGTCACTACCGCGCTTGACTCAATTATCCGTTCTCTATCTCTGCCTGTCTGCAATTATCTATGCCTTCATTTCTCCTCTCCGCTTTATTTGCCTGGCTTATATATTAAATAGAGGGCGCCTAGAAAACGCTCGGGCCTTCATTATCCTTCCAGAATCTCATGACGTGTTACCAGCGTCACGTGACTTCCGCTGTCGTAACAATATTAATCAAAGAAACACGTGTAAACAATCGAAAATTAAAGAAGTTCTTTTAATACAATAAACCCACAGAAACCCGTAGAAATTATTTCCGAAACACTTCAGCAATACAAACTAGTTTATTCTTTCTCGATACAACTTTGTTATCCACAGAATTACCACAGTTAATACGTTTGCAATCTCGATAACAAAACACACACTTTATATTACCGTCACTACCGCTCGCTTGACTCTATTATCTGTCTCTATATCTATCTATCTACCATTCTCTGTCCACTTTATTTACCGGGCTTATATACAAAAAAGAGGACGTCTGGAACAGACCAGAGTTGTCAGGAAAAGTGATGATCCTTCTAGAATCTCATCACGTGTTACCAGAGTCACGTGACTTCCGCTCTCGTAACAATAAAACACCATTGTAACCCTGCGTTTCGCTTTTAAATTAAACTTTTTTTGGGGGGGCGTGAATTTTTCTTTGGTTGTGTTTGTTTTCATATTTTGTAAACAATTCTCATTGCTGTTTTGAACTATTTTAATAATAATAATATATTCGGTCATCTAATAATGCCTCCCAGTGGCATAGCGATATTTCTGCGGAATTATACCGCTAGAAACTGGGTTTCGATACCTGTGTTGAGCAGAGTACAGATAGCCTTTTGTGTAGCTGTGTGCTTAATAACAAACAACAACACCATATTAGGTCGTCAAGACATTAACCTCACTTTATTCTTCTGATGAAAAACTCGAACAACTTATATATCAAAACAAAACATTTATTAAATGAAATAGTCACCATTCTTATCGATGATGC